ACATATTTTTATATTAACATATTTATACCCACAATTATTGTAAATAAACACTGAAGATAGCGTTATACCGAAAGCGCTTTGCATTTTTTAAATAAAACAATTTTGGACGAAAAAAAGGGTTTTGTTTTTGCTTTAATAAATAATGCAATCATGAGTTTTAATACTGTTGATGGTAATGGCAATTTAAGTTTTGTGAATGATGAAATTCCATTCAGATGCGTATGCAGTTATATCTTACATATCTGCCTATGCCATAGCCAAGTAAGGAAAACAATTTTTATTGTGCACACGTTCTTTCAATATAATCCTTGACAGATATTAACTGTTCGCTTTATAAATATTTGTACAGGAACCTATTGATATTATTTTTTTCGGTATTTTCGCATATTGTCCAGGCGTTTTGTTCGGTTGTGAAAAAGTATATAGATAAAATTGGTTACATGTTAAAACGCAATAAGTAAAAAAATACAAAGAATCTTTTTATAGGTATTTTCGTTTTCGTTGACAATAGACATACCAACATTCGTTTTCATCCAATAAACTTTTCAAGACTTGTCAACGAAAGTTATGTGATTTTGTCCTCGTAATTCCAACATGTCATTCTCGTTCATTTTTCTTCGAGATTGCTTTTTCTTTTTCTTTAATAACGAAGGATTTCACCAAAGTTGCTCGATGAAAGAAATCATTCAGAATAATAAAATATTAGACACCGGAAAAAGATAACGTACAGGCTTCCCAGCAGTTTACTTCACCTACGTCATTAGTATCTGTACAGAGTGTTAGTACTGTTGTGTTATAAAGAAAATAATGGAATTACCTACAATAATAGTATTTATCAATAAAATAAATCTGTACAAAATTTTGGTACACTATGTAAAATAATAAATTCTAAGACAAATTGTATAATCTTAGTTCACAGAACACTGTTATTTTGATATTTGGAATAAAAGAATAACAAGGAAAATAAACTGTCAAAAATTTAGAAAATTTAATGGATCAAACGACTTACCTGAAGAAAGTTCGATCCTAATTATGCGAGCATCCTTGTTAGTGGAAATAAAGATTACATGGTTATCTATACCTATATTACGCCACTGACCCACATGTTTAGATTTAAAATTTTACGTCACTCTATCGCTGCCTGTCTACATTACTCATTGCCTGTTGTGGAGCCTAGGAGTTTGGGGTTAAAAATAATATAAATATGGTGGAGGTGGGACTTTATTTGCACTAACAAGGATGTTCGCATAATTAGGACCGAACTTCCTCCAGGTAAGTCGTTTGATCCATTAATTATGCTTCACATCCTTGTTAGTGGAAATAAAGATAACCATGTAGTTGTTTAGAGGATGTTCTTTTCAAAATAAAACTAGATTTTTGCTTTCTACGTAAATGTATACAATAGAATATGCAAAAAAATATTACTATAAATTTCCCACAAAATTAACAATAATAATACTAATGAATTAATCATTAACCAACGTAACAAAAAATAATATTGAATTTTAACAATCCAGTTTTATAATTTTTTAATACTTTTGCGAACGTTGGTTTTACGTCTTAATTGTAAAACTTGTTAAACACTACTGATCTATTTGTCTTACAATTTTTCTAATGGTTTCGATATTGACGCAGATTATGAGGACTGTCGAGGTACATACGTATCTGTACTTGGGCTATCCTCCTAATAGTTTGGGGAGATACTGGATGGACTGGAGCGTTAGTGGTTAGAATAAAAGGTCCTGAAGACCTGTGAGACTTTGTTTTTTTTCTTCTTCCCCATAAAATAAAAATTATTTTTTCCGGGCATAACTTGAGGTAATTCGTGGGGGAATGAAAATACTAATAAAGGCTGGGCTCGTTGTGTAGTCGAAGTTTCAGCATTTTGTCAATGAAAATTTGTATATTGTTAGCTTCCACCTTGACATTTTCAACTTTAATTTTTGAGAAAGTATATACCCGTTGGGCTGCAAGCATAACAAGTTTGGCTCTTAGCTGTTTTAAGTTGTTCAAGTGAAAGAAACTACTGATGTATTTGAAAACTATGTTTTGATCTCGAAACATTTTGGTAAAATAGGATGACCCTTTTAGAAATTTCCTAATATACATTTTCTTTTATTATTCAGGATTTCTATGATAAAAGTTGGGGATTATTTATAATGAGAGCTAGGGCAGAACTCTGGTCATAAGGAGTTCTAAATGAAGGGTTGCTGCAATGAATAACTAGGTTTAATGTTGACATGTACCGTAAAAAGCATTTATTTTTTTTTTAACATGGGATGGTTGAGTTTCCCATTTTGGTACAATCACTCTGCCTTCTGCTTGGTCTTTCTTATTTTAGAACTTATACACGAAATGCATCAGCTATGTAACAATTGAGTTCTCGCACACTTTAGATAAAAAACACTTTTTTTTTTTTTGATGAGTCATAAAGATTGTAAAGAATTAACCGTTGTATTACAATGTTTGAGACATTCATCACTAGATTTAGATGTAATTAGAAAATCATTAAGGTTATTTCCAAAAGTCTTAGTTGCACATTACGTAGCATTTTTCGTTTTGCAGACGGATTTTATGAATGACTGCACCGTTAACACATAAAGTAGTATCTTCTGTATATTTATTTGTCGTCTAAATGCAGAAATTTATACATGAAGTAGTATCTTCTGCAAGCTAAAAATCAGTTAAATAAAAAGAAAAATATTATTCTCCTACCTGTGCTCTGAATTGCTTCATTTCTTTTTCTATTTATCGTATTTCTAATACGATTTTCGATAGTTTTTACCCTTTTACACTTTTTTATAATTGCTAAAATGTGGTCGGTTTTACGATGTGAATCATGCGACACAACAATTGATAATGATTAATGTAGACAGGCAGCGATAGAGTGACGTAAAATTTTAAATCTAAACGTGTGGGTCAGCGGCGTAACATAGGTATACTACAAGGTTTTCTTTATTTCCACTAACAAATCTGTGATTCTGATCAAAAATAATAACAAATCAAAACTTACCAGCAAGTGCATATTTTTGTTCATGGTAAAATACCTTAAGTTACTAGGTTTTGTTTAGCGGTATCTAGGAGGACGAGAATTTGGGAGCTGAATGACATGGCGAGATAAAAATTTTGTATGAAATTTTGAATATCCAATATCAATAATAATTAGAGGTCGGATTTTTGGGGGACATTTTAGGGCCGAACTCAGTGCCATGCATACGATAATAAATAGAAATTTTTAATCCAAATATACACTTAAAAAACAAAACTGGTCATAACTTCATATTTTCAGGATGAAAATTGTTTGTTTTTTGTGTGTATGTATGTAACCATTTTCTTCAAAAACTATTTTTCATTGCATAGGTATCACTGGTATCACTTCTGTGCAGACTCTTAGGCATGGTTTACGGTTATAGGTCACCAGGGCGCTTTGAATCATGTGTTTCTCTGAAACAGTTGGGCCGATTTTGATACGGTTTTTGGTTTTACGTAGGTATCCCCTCATAGCAGGTTAGTAGATCAGTTTTGTTTTATAATTATAAGTAGTCAGGGGAGCTACAAGTGATACGTTTTTTTAAAACGGCTTTCAAATGTTTGTGAGCCTTCGTAACTCCAGCAAGGCTACTTTATTGTGTGGATTATCGTCGTTTAATCATTTTTAATTTTATCTTGTTGAATTTGGGAAGGCGACACCACCTACCAATTTCTAGGGATAATAAATTAATATAAACAGGTAAATAATTAAATTGTGTATATGTATTTACTGTTTCCTATAAGCTATAAAAATGCGAACATACCCTTCTACATACTTTTGCTGCCAAAAGCAAACGGCACAAACTTTATAAAAAACAAATAGATAATTAAGCTACAAAAACGCATCAGAGAGGCGATTGCCTTGATCGCGAAGGTATAAGGTAGGGCTTGTACAAAATTTAACGAACCGTGACCTTGACAAAATATACATGATAGTGTTTGCATAAATATTTTGTTAAAGTCACAGTTCATAAGATATTGTACAAGTTCTAAAGCCGCACGACATGTACCACGCGTTATTTTAAATGAAGTAGGGGCAAAATAATTTCGTCTACACTACAAACTACAAGTACGACAACTATAAAGCATGTTTATGATTTTAGTTACAACTTTGTCCGCGGATGTTCTGTACTAGGCGCTACGGAGGCGCTGTAGTCAAACTTTGGTAACAGCAGACAGAACAGGCACAGTCCACAGAACAGTACTCCAAACTTCGACTTCTGCGCCCTCTACATGAACATGCTCTATTGTACTCTTATCGCATATTCTCTGGTGAATGCGTGGTATATGTGTATACTTCTTTCATAGTGTCCTTCGCTCTGTATTGGCGATTCGCGATTGTATCGAAATTCTAAAAAATGGGGCAAAGGCAAGCTCGCAGTGCAACAATTAGAAAATGGATAGGACACGAAGAGTTACATTATAATGGTGTGACTTTAACCTGCACTGCTTGAATACCTCCATAAGGCTTCCCGAAAATCGCATGTTGAAGAGCATATAAAAAGTCGTGTGCATGAAAGAAATTTGCTAGGATCCACTTTTAAAAGTGTTTTTTGCTTTGATCTGGCGATGATGATGATCGCTGCAAATATACTATGGATAAAGTTAAATAATAAGCATTTTCGAAGCTTCTTGGCGAAATATTGTGTTAGTCACGATATTTCTGAAGAATTTCTTTTAAGGAAAACGTTTCTAGACAAAGTGTTCGACAACCAGGTTGTCCAAATTCGTCAAGAATTGCTTGAGGGATTTTTTTGGGTATCGATGGATGAAACCACTGACTTTTTGGGACGAAAGATTGTACACTTTCTTGTGACGAATTTAAAACCAAACGAACCTTCCTCTTGCTATCTTGTAGCGTCTAAAGTAACAAGTGAAATAGTGAATGGTACAACGATACTTAATTTTTTGACGAAACTTTAAGGTGGCTATGGTTGAATAAAGTTGAGCAAAATTTTAAAAATATTATTATGTTTACAAGCGATGCCGTCAGCTATATGCTTAATTCTGGTAGAAAAATAAAGGCAAAGTGCCCACAAACACTTCATGTTACATGTATTGTACATGGCATTCATCGAATTGTAGAAGAAGTAAGAAATCAATTCAAAGATGTAGATAACTTCGTGGATAATGTTAAGAAAATCTTTTTAAAAGCTGCATCTCGCGTTAAAATATTTAAGGAAATGTTCCTAGGCGTGCCGTTGCCCCCAAAGTCGATTATTACCCGTTGGGGTACATGGATTAAAGCAGTGTGTTATTTTCAATATCATTACAATGAAGTGAGAACTGTGCTTGAATCATTTGACCCCCGTTCCAGTGCAGCAATTAGAAATTTCCGTGAACTAATGGACAAACCAGAATTAATTACTGATATAATTTTTGTGGCAAACAATTTCGGCATGATCCCAGAAATAATTCACACTTTGGAGTCTTCAAAAGTTTCCGTACAAGTCACCCTGAAAAAACTTAACGAATTAAAAACTAAAATTGACGCAGTGCCAGGAGATGTAGGAATTCGTTCACCGGAAAAGATGGCTGCCGTTTTACAAAGAAATCCTGATTTAAAAATAGTAAAGTGTTTAAAAGAAAAATTTGGTACCGAGTATTATTGGTATAGCGATATACCAGTAGACGCTTTCCAATTAGCCCCATTAACGCCTGTGGATTGCGAAAGATTTTTTTCGGCTCATAAATATATTTTAGATGTAAAAAGAAATAACTACTTATGATATATTTTAACAAGAATTCAATGTAAGTATTTTAAAATAAATACTTTTTTTTTTTTTAAGAGAAGGGGGAGAAAAAGTCCTTTATATCTCACAAGGAAAGTCAATGTTTAATTGTTTAACAAAACATTGAGTGCACTCAAACATTGACTTTCCTTGTGAGATATAAAGGACTTTTTCTCCCCCTTCACCTTAAAATTACCTCAACTCACACATGGCTACCCCCCTTGTCAAAAATAAATACTATTGGTAACCAACTGAAGTATATTCTTACATATTCGGATCAGTTACAAGTAGATTCACTAAAACGTTTTAAGACTTAAGCTTGATTTTCATGTGTACGGAGTCCGATAAACGTTTTACGGCACTCATGACGCAAAAAGTTTAAAACTGTCAACTTTTGTTGTCTGGCATTGAATTTTCACCAATCAGAAAAGAGCATGGAGAGTATCCCGTAAAACGTTTACCGAACGCCGTACACATTAAAATCAAGCTTTAGACCAGATTTAAATTTAAAACTTCTCGTTAGCAAGGTCAATTTTGTTTTGTTTCTACACCAATGCACTGCCACAAAAAAATGCGTTTTTAACTTTCTTTGCTCCTTATTTGTATTTTAAATTACTTTTTATACGATTTAATTCTGTATGCATTAATTAGTTTTTAATAAAACTACAAATTGTTCAATATATAACTTTTTGTTTAACAAATAAAAAACAAAAAATTTATTTATAATACAAAATGTATGCACAAGTTACTTTAAAACCCTAGTTGTTACCTTAGATCAGTTTTAATGGCAATGAATCACTTAATTTTCACGTAATTTTCTTGATAACACGTGTTGTGAAGTTAATGTATTTCTAAATTTTTGTAAATAAATATTAATAGTTTATTAACGTTAACAAAGATTACGCCATCTATAAGAAAATGGTCAAATATTTCAAATAGTTAAACTGATAACATTACAGTTTTAACTTCATTATTATAATAAAGAAAAATGATAAATATAATTTTATAGATTAACATACTGTAAATATCAATGTTCAATTACAAATTATTGATAAATTAAATATTGTTGGTAATTTGAATAGTTTTTTTTTTATTTGTTAATTATCCTTAATTACAAAGGTACGTGGACCATAAATGGCCGATAGGAGAGTTAAATGTTTAAAAGATTTAAATCATATACAGTAGGATAAAGTTTGAATCATTCTAGAGGAAGAGTTTATTTTTTTGTGTTTAGTTTATTTACCATATCTGAAAATCAATTAAATACTATATGTGCTAGCTGAGGAAAGAAATTTATCAATAATAAAATTTAAATAAAATATATAAATATGAACACAAATAATAAATAAATAAAATAACACAACAGTACCTACATATATTGGACCGACAACGCTCTCGTTAATTGATAAATTTTGATATCATGAACCCTTAAAGGGCTTAGTTGCCGAAACACAGCGTGTAAAAATCTTGAAATGAAAATTAAAAATTTTCTATATGACAATCACTTTTCAATATTTTTTTTAAATTTAGTGACCAATATCCTCTTTAAGGTTTAGTGGCAACTTTTATCCCCCTATTTTTACGCAGCTGGAACAATTTTTTTTTTATTTTTATATAAAAAAGTAATCACCTTTTATAGTGCCAGAAGGAACGGTTTTGTAAAAATTTACTTCTAAACAAAAGTTTTCCAGTACTATAATTTGTAACAACTCAATTCTCAATTCTAATCTAGTAGGCACGTGTCAATTTTTTAATAATTCATGTATTTGACTAGATTTTGGTAGATCAAATTTGAAAAAAAAAATATTTCAAGGAAGTTTGATTTTCAGCAAATTTTGAATTTTAATTTTAAAGGTAGGTACATGTTTTGTTTGGTCCCAAATTTTTTGGTCCCAAATACTTAGTTTTAGTTGTTATTTATTTTGTTCCCTTATAGACTCCTTACGGTTTACTAGGTTACACCTTCTTTATATTAAAAAAACATAGTGGGAAAAAGATGTCATAAAAAAGTTATTAAAAAATCACATCTGGTGAAAGTAATTTCGCGCATTCCATTGCATTTTTAAGCAATTTATTTAAATTTAAAGATCTGTTAATTTGTACACGTTTGTAAATACATTTTTGGAAGAAATCCTGGTCCTTCGTTTCTTTATCAAGAAATACCTAACTCTACCTATGCTACAGTCGCTAAACCACACGTGTGCGAGGAAAGGCGAGTGCCACCCGTTCATGTTTCTGTCAAAATTCACCAATTAGCGATAGCTCTTTGGGGTAGAGCGTTGTTGGTCAAATAAGCTAACACCCTGTATGAATGCATAATAGGATATTCTATTCAGAACGAAATTTTCTAATAATCGTGGACTTGGAGACTAGAGATGAGATTTCAGAACCTCTGCAAATGGTACTTACAACTGCAACTATCAGTTTTCATTGGTAAATAAGAAAAATAATATTCCAGAATAGCTATTTGTGTATTACGATCGAAAAGTTATACTTTGCCGCTTGAAACAGAAAGTTGACTGCGGCAACGAACTTTTTGCTCAAAATACACACAAGATTTTTTCTACCATCACATTAATTTAATAGCGCATTCGATTGGAATGCTCTTTCCCGTTGCCAGAGCGGTTTTAGTTCTGCACTTATTTCCAGCAGCATTTTTATAATTCGAAATTATATCGAGCAATGCACGCTCTGAGTGCGAGTCCTGTTCAAGCATCATTTTATCAATATTCGACTGGTACAGTTGACATTTCCAGTTTCTAACCTAATTTAATATCTGTGTTTTTAACGGTAGTAGGTACTTGTGCACTTATGGGTGGGCTTCCACCGGGATTTAAATCTTTTTTATAAAGTCCTAATTTCCAAATTTGATATTTAAATATTCCATATGAATTTTTGTTCATTCTGAAGTTTCTTTTAAACTGTGAAAGGTTTACAATCTTTATTTATTAATATAGATATAAAAGTAATAATTTTAATTTGCTTCTTTTGTAGAACATTGTTTTACAACTTCAACTTATTCTAAATTCTTTGTCAATTTTTGTTTTCTACATTTTATACAACTCTTCTATCTATATCATCGCTGATATCTTCATCGTCACTATTAATGGATTGATGGATAATAATAAAGATAAAGGTAACATATTTTAAAAATTGAAAATGAAACCTAACCTCTAAATCGACATCGAAAAAAGTACGGTTCCAAAAAATTCGAACTTTGAGCAAGTGATTCTACTAGTAGAACAAAAATATTATTGTGTCCTCGTGCCGGGCAATTCCAGTCGAATGCAAGAATTGGTTCAGTTCTGCCAGTCAAATGTATGGTACTTAAAAAAGTCGAACTAAATGCGCACCAGTGCGACCAGTCGAATGCGCTATAAGAATAAGATAAAAACTGAAAATTTGTCATGGTTAGTGTATAATGTGTTGCCTGTATCTGCGTTATTCATGAAAAAAGGCATTTATGTTCAAAGTCTATGGTAACTTAAATAATAAAACAAAAAACATCAAACTACGTACAAATAACTTTAAAATCATTTCGTTCATTTGGAAGAAGAGAGTTATATCTCAAAAACAATAATTTTACAAAAAAAATAAATTTAAATAATTTGGTGAGCCTAAAAATTAGAGAGTTACATCTGCTCCCTGGTACTGTTAATCTAACTTGTTCCCTTTTTCCCTATAATACATTAGATCATTTTAAATAGATTCTCGTTGAAAACTCAACATTGAAGTTTTTTGAGATGTAACCCTTTTCTTCCAAATGAACGATTTATGTTTTAAAAAGAAAAAATATTATATTATGGCTAATGTAAATTAGGCTCGTAACAAAATTGTCAAGTTTTCCGCTCGACGAGCGACAAAGCTGCTACTTAATGTCAGTTCTCGGAAAACGTCAACTTTGCGGTTGTATTTCGAAGCGCAAAAGCCTATTTTGTATAGTGATCGCAGAAAAACATATTTTTTACTTTTTGCATTTACAAATCATCTGCAACTTTAAAATATTTTGCAAACTTACAGAACATCAAAACCTAACCTATAAAAGTTAAGATATGATTCGCTTGTTATCTGGTTTTCAAACGGTTTGGATTATTTATTGTTGTAGAGAGATATTACGGGACTATAATATAGAAATAAATTTGGGAATAGAAAGGAATATAAGAAATTATAGATAAACTACAGATATAATTTAATGCTTGGCATTCTATATTGTATTCTTTACAGTTTAACATACCCCCTTAGCCTCCATTTTTAATCAAATATTTTTCGGAATCAACAGTCTTCATCCCATTGTAAAGCTTGATTTTTCCTGAAGATTTCAATTTGATATTGTTTTTGTTCGTAAATTAAGTTTTTTTACAAAGTTTAATTGTTGCTAAACATCTCACATTGATATCGCTTCTGGTTTTTGATTTCTATTTTTTTATTCCCCTTCCCCCAGTTTTATCAGATTTTTAAAATAAATAGGCTTTGTTCCTTTATAGAGTTTGAATTTTTCCAAAAATTTCAACTTGACATTATTGTTCGTTTTTAAATTAGGATTTTTTAAATATTTTAATCCCCCTCAATTTTTTTTCTAGAATCACAGATTTTGATTTTTACTAAAAATTTTATCTTGATATCGCTTTTTGTTTTCCATGCAACTGTCCTTAAACCCCCATTTTTATTCAGATTTTTTAAAAATCAAACGGCTTATTTCTCTTATAGAGCTATAAAAATTTCAAGTTGATATCGTTTTTCGTTTTTGAGTTATGATTTTTTTAATCCCCTTATAGAGTTTATTTTTTTCTGAAATTTTTAAGTTAATATCAGTTTTTGTTTTTACCTTATCGTACGGACAAAAACGTGACATCAGACGGGCGGACAAAGTAAACCTATAATACTCTTCGAGGACTACTGTGTGAAGAGTATAATAACTATGAACTTTTGTGTTTAAAAGTAATGGCATTGTATGGTAATGGCTTTAATGGTAACATTTTTATTTATGTACACTTTTA